CGGTAAACCGTAGGCAGAGAGAGAGAAGAGGACAACAAACGAGGGGTTGTGACAAAATATATATATATATATATATATATATATATATATATATATCGTCACAAACAGAACTGCCCGGTAAAACCGTAGGCAGAGAGAGAGAAGACGACAACAAACGAGGGGCTGTGACAAATATATATTCTATTTGTGACGATATATATATATATATATATATACCTCTCAGAACAAATGTCAATCACGCAAGAGTCGTTAAACTAATAACCTGCTAATCTCATTCATCAACTCAAATTTTTTTTCAAAGAGCGAGAAAGAGAAAGGGAAGGAAGAAGCAAAGCAGTATTTACTAGGATGGGACAAGATAAAGTAGATGAAAATTCTGATATTTAGTAACCTTAAAGCACTACTTCTAATATTAATCAAATGTTTGTGTAGATAGACCCATGGATCAACACCTTTCTCGCTGCATCAGGACCCCAATTTATCATCGGAGCTGAAGTTTTTGTTGTCCTCCCCATACTCCCACCTGCCTTCACACCCGCAAAGATAATTGATTGCGTCAACCCCCTTTCTACAAACCTTAACGAACTCCTTTTCAATGTTCAGACAGACATTACGGAAGAAATCCACAGAGTGCATGTCCACGCTATAAAATTAATGAACCCACTACCACCACCACCTTCTCAACCCCCACCACCTTCTCAACCCCCACCACCAAGCACGCCCTCTTCTCCCAACCTCACCACCCCACCACCCCACTCTCTTCCATTCTCACATGCTCCCTCAAACCCTTCATCTTTGGTCCACCAAGCTACACTCGAGGCTTTCGAGCAACTCAAGCAGCAAATGGTCAATCAGCTGGAAGAAAGTCGGGCATCCATTGACCAACTCAAGAACCAGCTTATCGAGAAGCAAGAAGAAAGTTCTAATCTCAACCAGCTTTACCAGAATCTTCAGTCTGAGATGAATGGAATCCAGCAGAAGCTTAATGGAAAATCTCAACCTGCTTATGAAGAGTTGTCGGCATGGAAGAACATTTTCGCCTCTCCTTGCTACTATTCACGCTTCCTTGAGATCAATATGAACTACTCCTACTATCCAATTGGAAAGGCGTTCGCCGCTGATTTCAACGCAAGAGTGGCCTCAGTGTCCAAGGACTGCATAGAACCGCTCATCACCAAGTCTATCAAGCAATCACTGGACAAGGCCATCAGGAAAGGTATGGACAAGGCAGTTCCACTCATCAAATCGGAATACAACTATTGCATGAGCCTCGTCAGACAAGATGCTCACAGGTAAGATAAGGGTGGTCGCCCGACTTTTATTTATCGCCCCCGGACTGTTAACAAGTCCACGCCGTTCGTGTTGTGGGGCTTATCATTATATTCTCTTTTATCTTGCAGATTGGACATTAAAGAATCGGAATATTCATCATATCGCAAGAAGGACGAACACCCCAAGACAAAGGATGGCAAGCGGTCAACTTCTAAGCGTCACTACGAAGAGGACAGCGGTCGAGGATACGACTATTACAAAACCTCCAAGAAGCCCCGTTCCGACTACGACTACAAGAATTCGGACCAATCACCTGCGACCAATGCTGACTCCGCAAAAACCTTTCAATAGTCTTCCGCCTTTTCCAATTCCATTTATTCCCACTATCCTCTCCAATCTTCAAAAACCACCGTCAACTTTTGATCTCAACCTTGCTACCTTTGCATTGCAAGAACACTCATCTTGGCTAAGAAATCCTAACCATTTTTTTGTCGCCGCTCCATCCCAACATTTTTCGAATGTGTCACTTTTATTATCCTCCTCTATCAGAAGATATTCCCACTCAGTCCTGCAATGGATCAAGCACGGCGTCAGGCTCCAATTCAAACGCACCTCCCACATTCCAACTGCTAAGATAATTGAAGTCAGAAGAATGGTCAAAATCGTCCTTCCCGCATCCTGTTTTAAGCAAGGCTTAGCAAGCCCATCAATTGAATTCCCCACCCCCCCTTACCATACCCAATCATAACAATCCCCCCCATCACATTGACTTCATCTCATCAACAGTCTCGCATCTTCTTTCTACAGGTGTCATAGAACCCTCTTCTCATCCAAAAGTAATCAACCCTGTTTTCACAACAGAACGCTCGCCCAAAGCTCGCTTCATACTTGATGTCCGTTTTGTCAATCTTTTTGTAACTTTCTGACCTTTTCACTATGAATCAATAGATGAAGTTACTGCTCATCTAATAGGAACCCCAACTCAGGTTTTCCTCACTTGTTTTGACATTAAGAATGATTATTACCATATCCCGGTCCACCCCATCTCACGACCTTATCTAGCTTTCCATTGGAATGGTCTGAACTATCAATTCACAACGCTCTGCTTTGGAATTTCTTCCGCCTGTTGGATCTTTACAACTATTATGCAAGAAATCATGGCTGAACTGCGCATCCGCAATGTTTTTGCCATATCATATATCGACGATTCCACGCTCGCCAACAAGGAGCTACCAGTACTCCTATGGCAATCTTTCAACTACGTCGCCCTTCTCCATAACCTCGTTTTTTTTCTCAGCACCCATAAATGCTCATTCCTTCCTTCTCAGTCTATACGTTTTCTAGGATTCACACTGGATTCCCATTCCAAACGAGTAAGAGTCCCTGAAGACAAGATCCAAAAAATCCTCTCTATGATCCAATCCTCCTCCAACCCCTCTAGCAGAACACTCGCTAAACTAGCAGAAAAATTTGCTTCCTTATCCAAAGCCTTCCTACCTACTCATCTCTACCTTTCGTCACTTTACGAAACTATCTCACCTTCCAACTGGGACTCACCTATCCAAATATCAGAAAGCCTTGTTCTAGACCTCATGTGGTGGATCTCTCACCTACCCCACCTTCCAGGAAGACTATGGACCGTTCGACTTACTACCCTTCTCATATTCACAAATGCTTCAACAACCCAAATCGCAACAATCATTCACCCTCTTAACGACAAACCAATCATATTCAACCAATGTCTACCCCCTTCACTGCTAGATTCTTCTTCCACCCACAGAGAACTCTTCGCCATTCTTGAAAAATTTCATTTCCTTGTTAATACTCACCCTCATCTTCCCCCCTCAGCCTCAATCAGACTTCACTCCAATAGCAAAACTGCCACAGCTCTACTTCTAAGGATGAATTCAACCAACGAATCTTTCAATCCTTGGTTGCGTATTCTCTCCATTCTACTCCTCTTCGACTCCCTCCTCAATCCGTCTGGATTCCCGGGACATTGAATACAACAGCCGACTCTATCCAAAATCGAGGATAACACAGGTCACTTAAATGTCGAAATCTTCTCTCATTTAGGAACACCAGCAATTGACCTTTTTGCATCCAACTATCAGCACGCTTCTCCAATCTTTGTATCCAGAAATTGGTCAAAAAAGGCCCTCCAGATAGACACCCTCTCACTGGACTGGAACCTAGTACCATCCCTTCCCTATCGATGGCTTTTTCGACCAACATCACTACTTCATCACACTCTCTCAAGGGCAATCGCCAGCCCAACCTCCTACCTCCTCATAATACCTTCATCACAATGCACAACTTGGTACCCACGCATTCTCTCACTCAACATTATGCATCACTTCATCATCCCCGAATCCCGATTCTCCTGCCTCCCCAGCCCTAGGGTCCATTTCTCCACCCCCAATCCCGCAATCCTCGGTCTCACGACAATTTTCTTCTCCACCTAAAGCACCATCACTCGTCCTCTTCCATCCACGGCGAATCCCATATCCATATCTCATAAACGTCCCAACACTACTCCAAGTTTTTTGCCGCATCATCTCCCCCAAACTCCAACCCTCCTCTATTCCTGCCTGAACCCCCCCGATCCGGAAACTATGACCACTCTCCCCTTCATAAACTCCCGCCTCCTCAAACCATTTCTCCATACGCTTGTTAACCCCCCCCCCCCACTCACCGGCCCACCACCTCGCATTGGTCGAAACAAATATCCTTTCCTTCCATCCTGACCCAACCGATCATAACTGCTTAACAAATCCGGAAGCCATCCCAAGAAAGTCTCCTCCTCCTCTCTCGGTTCTCGTAACCTTATCATAAATCTCCTTATATTGCAATCTCAATCCTTCGCCGCAATGCTGCCAACTCTCCCATAAGTACAAAAACGCCCCGCCATCACGATAAGCCCGAGCTTCCGCATAACCCTTCAATATTTTCACCTTCATCCTAATATGCTCCAACACTTTCTTCAATTTTTGCCATCTCAAGGGTCGTGCCGACTCTTCAATCACACCGCGTTGCAAAAAATATTCTCGATATGCTCTGCGGAAAGCCCGCACTCTGTTGCTCTGACAAGGATCCCCCTCTCCATCCCTTCCCAACAGTCGGAAACAAGCACTCAAGCAATTTATGATTGCGTCTACAGTGGACGGGGAAACAAGCGGGAAACCTTCAGCATCAGAAGTCTGACACCAACTCTCAACCTCAACCAGCCACCGGCTGCTGACGAAAGCCAACACATCTAAGTCATTACAGGTCATACAATCTCTCTCAACATTGTTCTGCTCCAACCACTCATTTAAGGCAAGAAGACGTTTCCTCATTCCCCCTCTCCATCGCCGACCAGCCCCGTACTCAGAAACTAGGGTGCTACTCCACTCAAGACCAGCTTCGTATCCGCCTTCAAAATCAGGAGTGTTGCGCTTCTGTCTCCAGCCGCCATCGCTAAGACGTTCGTTCCACCATTCCCTGCAAGACGACGATGTCACTTACGGGACGATGGAGGGAGTTGGGCGGTTCCAAGAGGTGTGCGGGCCTGCGACCCACTTCTAACACTCACTTCTGCGCGATCTGGCATTATCTACGGAGTTCTATTTTCCTATTTTATCTGGAAGAGACCTGAGCAACATTATGCCTGCAACTCCTCACCCGGTTGCACTCAGAGTTAACAATACAGATTAACAGGCGCAATAGATCAACAACAACTTACGGTTGGGAACCGGTACCGGGACAACATCATCTGGAACCACATACAATTATGCCTGCAACTCCTCACCCGGTTGCACTCAGAGTTAACAGTACAGATTAACAGGCGCAATAGATCAACAACAACTTACGGTTGGGAACCGGTACCGGGACAACATCATCTGGAACCACATACAAGCCACAAATCTACCTGTCTCTTATACACATCTAGATGTGTATAAGAGACAGCAATTATGCCTGCAACTCCTCACCCGGTTGCACTCAGAGTTAACAGTACAGATTAACAGGCGCAATAGATCAACAACAACTTACGGTTGGGAACCGGTACCGGGACAACATCATCTGGAACCACATACAAGCCACAAATCTACTGTATCTAAAGACCACAAGACTTTAGGACATTGAGATTTTCTAAATCAATAGCGAACAAATTTCATCCTACATCTACGGTTCCTTCAGTACTTTGATGTGACTTACCCTTGCTGGAGTGCGGCCTCACTGGCCTGTCCGCTCCCACTGCCTTGACCTATGACTGTATAAGTCACAAGCGACTGCCCAGCCACGATAGCTTGCATGCTTTCTCGAGCCGCGCCTTCCAGACCCCGACCGCCCGCAACATTCATCGTGAACGCGAACCAGCGTGCACGCCACACAAGGGTCAGGTCTTTCAGAGGTCGAGTCCTTTTCCTCGCCTTGATTTGGCGAAGCGGTCCCACCCACCCTCGATTTTCCCACGGTGTGCGGGCCAGCGGCCCACTTCTAAGACTCACTTCTGCGCGATCTGGCATCATCTACGGAGTTCCATTTTCCTATTTTATCTGGAAGAGGCCTGAGCAATATCTGGTTGAGCTCGTGGGGTATCAATATCAAATGACATACTGGGGTATCAATATCAAATGACATACTCCACGAAGTGCTCCAGCCACGGGGGGGTCGGATAAGTGAACTTGCTTACTTGACCCCTCCCCGAAGAAGCCATGGTCGCCTGAGTATGTCAATAATAACCCCCTGCCCCCCTCTGGAAGCCCCCTGAAAAATATTGTACCTTGAAAATTTTATTGCGGATTCCGACAGCTCTTGAAGAGTGCAATCGGAATCTGCCCAAAAAAAAAAGAAAAAAAAAAAGATATTTGGGCACTTTTTGTTCAAAACCGGTTTCCCGGTTCATCCCCCTGGGCTGGTCCGGCTCCGGTTGGAACGGGGTAGCTCAACCGGCTGGTTGCCGGCCCAGCACTGCCGCGAACTAAGGAGAGTAACATGATGACAAGCGAGGGAGGAGGAGAACTATGTCGAAGGAGGGAGGAAGAGGGGGATAACAATGACAAGAAACTGTCCATTTCCATATATATATCGTCACAAATAGAACTGCCCGGTAAACCGTAGGCAGAGAGAGAGAAGAGGACAACAAACGAGGGGCTGTGACAAACTGTTTCGTTGGAGTTTCACCGACTCATCAGGAGGCTGTATATATATATATATATATATCGTCACAAACAGAACTGCCCGGTAAACCGTAGGCAGAGAGAGAGAAGAGGACAACAAACGAGGGGCTGTGACAAACTGTTTCGTCGGAGTTTCACCG